TGTAGGCAGGTCCACAAGTCAGCTGGAGCAGACTCCTTTATTCTCTGCTGCAAAGATCCTCAGACTTCAATGTGAATCAGACTGACTAGGCTTACTTGTTAAAGTGCAGATTCTCAGTTGATACTAGGTCAGATTCTGAGGAGGTGCGGACCAGGAACCTGGGCTTTGTTTCCTTTGGTCTGTTTTGTGACAAGGTCTCACTCTGTTTCCCAGGCTGGACTCCAGCGACACTATCACGGCTCAATGCAGCCTCGACCTCCCGGGCTCTAGTGGTCCTTCCACCTCAGCCTCCCAAGTAGCTGTGACTACAGACGCATGCCACCACACTTGGCTTTTATAAAATCTTTTTTGTAGAAATGGATTTTGCTAGGTTGCCTAGGCTGATCTGAAGCTCAAGCAGTCTTTCTGCTCCGATCTTACAAAGTGTTGGGAATACAGGTGTCAGCCAATGTGCCCAACCTGGAATCTGTATTGAATCACCTCCCCAGGTGATTCTGATACAGATGGTCCAGGAGCATTCTTGGACAGCCCTTGCTGCCCTGCTCATCCTCCCCTGTTCCCAGTGGCTCCCTTGAGCAACTGATCGGCCTTTGGCCTCCCCACCCGCACCCCCCATGGCTCACATGTGCCCCTCGGGGTTGGGGAATGGACTCAGGCTGCTGGATCGCTAGCCAAGGCTCACTCCTCAGAGTGTCTTTTCCTGCAGCCATGGGGAGGGAAGAAATGATGGCATTTGGGCCAGCCAGACGGGAACACACACAGCACACCCAGATCAGCCAAACGGCTCTTCTTGGGAGAGCCAGACAGTAGAAGGAAATAGAAGTCCAAGGGCTTACTATCTGCCAGGCCCCTTACAATGGGACTGAGCATGGAGTTGATCATTCACTGAGCACTACTGTGTGTCTGGCACACGGGAGGTGCTTTATTTATTTATTTATATCATGTCTGATCAACCCCCACCCTACAAGGCTGCTGGCAGAGCTGGGCTGGGCTGGAGCCTCTGGAGGCAATGTCACAGCCCATCCTTTTAGCCACAGTGCCCCGCTGCCAAAAGGAACTCCACCGACTGAGCCTCTCTGGCTCCTTTTCCCCACCCGCTGCCCCTGCCTGCGCAACTCAGGCCTCGCCATCAAAACCCATCAGCTCTGGATCCCGAAGCCCACACAGCAGCCTTGGCATCACTGAGGAAAAGACAATGAAAGCTGAATAAAATCGGCAACACTTAACCTGTGAGATCTGACCAGACTCCCAGATGCCCTGGCCTGAAGGGTCAGGAGGTTCCTGGAAACCCTCACTGCAGGCCTTGGCCAACCTGTCCAGACTGTCCCCTCCCACCACATGGCTCCCACACTCAGTCCCAGGTCCTGGGTTTGTGATGTTAGAGACCACAGATTCCAAGTGCAGAAGCAGCTCTGGGCCCAGCAGCCAGTCCAGCCCCCGAGCCCCTGCACCGCTGGGTTCATAGAAAAAAGATTTCAATGATATATGACCAATAGCTATGGCCATCAAAGCCAAATAGGATTTCTTTCTGGCTGATGAGCTCAGGGCCCTTTTCATTCTGAGATCGGATCAACAAATCAGTAAAACAATTCCCTCAGCATCTCATCTTGGGATATTGATGCAAGTTCAAGCTTGGGGGCAAGGGAGGTGGAGGAAACAGGCGATCTGTGCTTGGGGCAGCACAAGTGGCCCAGGGACTTCAGATTGGAACCTGCCTGGACCCTGGCCTGCTGTGTGGCCTAGAACATGTCCCTTCACATCTCTAGATAGGTAGTTTCTTCATCTGCCAGATGGGGAATGGGAAGAGATGCTCTCTAAATCCTCTGCCTCTGATTCTCAGTCACCACCCAGTTGGGGGAGGCAGAGCTAAGGGAGCTGGATGCTGGGAGAGGCTCCCTTTCACCTCTCTACAGAATCACTGGTGGGAGCAGCATGCAGGGGTCCTGTTGTCTTTGGAGGGGGCATGTACAGGGGCCAGGCCAAGTGGCAAGAACAGCTAAATAGCCAATAGCATGTGATGGGTGACATCAGCTTTGCTGGGACATAGCAGGTGGTCACCGGCCAGTTCCTAGCTCTGGGGAAGGCTTGGGAAACTGCAATCCCTCCCGAAGCCCCAGCATGCCCAGACCACAATCTGTGGGTCCAGGCATGTTGCAAAACTCTTCCTTGCCCCATACCACCCAAAGAGAAGCTGGAGAATACATGGGAAGCTAAACGTGCTCAAACCTGCTGGGGGAACACCATGAGGGGCTCGGGATGGAGCTCTGGGAGGGAGCTGTCCCCTCAGCCTCACTGCCTGGGAAGAAGAGAACCTTAGGGCAAATCTCCCTCTGAGAACTTGGGGCTCCCCCAGCCCCTGCTGCCTTGGCCTGTGAGGGGCTGAGGAGGCCAGCAGCAGAGGGAAGGGGCGCAGCGAGGAGACGGTGGAGGCTGCCCTTGTGTCCCTGAGCCAGAGGCCTTCCTCTTCCCATCCTCAGTCCTCTCATTGGGGCGGAGAGCAGTGGGACTGCATCGTGTTGCCTCCCTGCAGCAACTTCCAGCTTGGGGATCATTTTTGCATAGGTTTCTCCTCCTAGGAATTATTTCCATTTTGCAGACATGAAAACCAAGACTAAGGAAGTGAAGGGACTTATTTGAACCTGATTTCTGATAAGCTCAGTACCCTTCTGAATGTGGTAGAATTTATTTGAGTCTTACATATTTCAATATCTTAGTGTCTTAAAGTCCGTTCTCCCAACCCCCACTTGGGTGTGCATGCATTCACATGTGTGTACACACACACACACACACAGCATCTGCCCTCCTGGTCACAGCTTAGTTACAGCACTGGCTGGAGTGTGGGTTCCAGGGAAGGGATGAGGGTGGAACTGGACTGACCCAGTTCCCCATCACGCGTCCCCAGGTGGAATCCCACCTTTGGTGCCCACACAGGTCAGTGGCTCCAGGGAAGGCTTCTTGGCTCCCTTGCTGAGTGAAAGCTCAGGCATGGATAGTGAGGAGCAGGTGTCTGTCCAGGAGGTGGGCTCAGTACCCCTCAGCCCCTGGGTCCAGCACAGAAGCCCTTGCTCTGGGGTGGGGGGAGTCTGACACTGGCCTCAGCCTCACCACTCCCTCCACAATGATGCAGCTGCCTACAGAGACAGGAGTTGAGGGTTGCTGCTCCGCTGCTGGGGCAGAGGACCGGGGATGGAGAGGGAACCCTCAAGCACTGCCCTCCCCCAAATCTGCTGCCTTTCTCATAAAATGCTTGGGAGGCTCAGGGCCGCAGGAACTAAGAACTGTTGCTCCCAGTCCCAGAGACCAGGAAAGGCCCAGCGAAGCTACCTGGGCTCAAAATCCCAGAACTCTTCCCTCACACCCCCACCCTGCTCAATGGTGGAGTGCTATCCAAAGTCTCATGGGCATGCCCCTCCCCACGCACCAGTTCTTCCATGATAATGGGGCTCTGTCTCCTGTTTGAACTTGGGCAAGTCTTTCCTTCTCCTGGGTCTCAGTTTCCCCTTCTGTCAAATGGGAGGGCTGGCCTTGAGCTTTCAGATACCTCCTAGTTCTGTCATTTGTAGTCCCTAGAGGGCCAGGACACAGGAGTGTGAAAGAGGAGAGAAGAAAGGGTAATTTAGGGCTGGGGAGCCAGTTGAGAAGGTCAAAAGGGTTGTAGATTCCCTGGGTCCTGCCTGAGGCAGCAGCCTCCATCTGCTTTCAGCAGGTTCCAATCCATGCCACAGCCAGAAGCCAGAGACACCCCAGGACCAGAAGGTCCTGCAGAATGGGATGAGGGTGGGGCAGGCAGTGAGAGGGCAACATTCAGGGAGTCAGTCTCTCGACCCAACCTGAGCCAAGGGTGTTCTGGGTCCCTCATTACTCCAGGACTGGAGAACCAGCTGGAGGAGGTGAAGGCTGGGAATGCTCTGAAAGTAGGTCTGCAGAGGGAGAAATAAGGTACTTAAGCTACTTAGTCTTTGAGGCTGGTGACAG